TAAGTTGGATTTTCCTCTAGATATTAATTAGAAATAAACATACATAGCTTTTAAGAACTATTGATCTTTAAATGCTAGAACTCAACTTAGAAAAGTTAAGTAAAATCATTTTTTTAAATCCGCAGATCTCTAGTGCTAGGGTAATAACTGAAAAAGATATAATACCACTGCACTGTTAAGAACAATTTCATCTACATAAATATTATGGGGATCTTAAGAAGGCACAACAGACCGACAAGCAAAGCAGCTCTGGGTGCCGAGGTTAATGGGTCAGGTAACTTTGATGCTTTTGTTCCATGTATTTCAAGATTGTCTAAAATTTACCTCCAAAATGTTATTATGTATTACTTATATCATGAAAAAAATGCAAGAAATAAAGCAAAACAATAAAGTCAAACAAAATAAAAGATATTATTCAAAAAGCAAAGAATATAGCTATCACTAATATAGTTGCATATTTTAGAATTCTTAGCCAATATAAGAGAAAAATTTTAAAAAGATGTTAATTTTCAGAAAATGTATTCCACTTAGAAATTCCAAGAAAATTTACTGAAAAACTACTTGATCTTACAAGAGAATCTAGCAAAGCAGGCAGACACAAATTCAATACAAAATTATCAATAGGTTTGCAATACCACAGGAATGACAAACTTTAAAATGTTACAATTCCTAGCTGCAAAACTTCCACAACATAAAGATGTCAGTTCTAATTGTATTAAAATGTAATTTCAATGCAGTTTAAATAAAAATCTCCACAGGATTCACTATGTAACGCAGTAAGGTCACTCTAAAACACAACAGCTGGGAAAGCTTTTGAAAATGAACAATAAATCAAGTCATAAAGCTAAAGTAAGTAAAAAAGTTGGTGAAGGGTGTTGTTTTTGCTTCCTATTAGAGAAATTTCCAAACATACACAAGTATAGAGAATGTTAACATGACCCACCTACGTGGACATCATTCAACTTCAATAATTAACACTGCAAATCTGTTGACTCTATCTCTTTCTTTGTTTTGCTAGAATATTTTAAAGCACATTAGAGATATCACATCTGTTCACCTGTAAATAATTCAGAATATATGCCTAATAAATAGTGACTTTAAAAAAATTAGTTACAAGGCAATATGCAGTGGCTTATGCCAACACTTTGGAAGACCAAGATGGGAACCCAAGAGTTCAAGACCAGCCTGGGCAACACGGTGAGACTCTGTCTCTACAAAACAGATACACAATTACATACACAGCAAACTAGTTATACTTGATAAATGTCATATAATACCTCGTTTGGGCTGGGTGCGGTGGCTCACACCTGTAATCCCAGCACTCTGGGAGGCTGAGGTGGGTGGATCAAGAGGTCAGGAGTTCAGGACCTGCCTGACCAACATGGTGAAACCCCGTCTCTACTAAAAATACAAAAATTAGCCGGGCCTGTTGGCGCATGCCTGTAATCCCAGCTACTTGGGAGGCTGAGGCAGGAGAATTGCTTGAACCCGGGAGATGGAGGTTGCAGTGAACTGAGATCACACCATTGCATTCCAGTCTGGGCAACAGAGTGAGGCTCTGTCTCAAAAAAAAAAAAAAAAAAACCTCGTTCATGGTCAATTTTCTGAACTGTCTCAAAAAATGTCTCTTTATACTTTATTTAGATCAGGGTCCAAACAAAATTTTCACAATGCATTTACTCAATGTGTATTTTAAGTCTCTTATAATCAACATAACCATCCCTCTATTTTCTACTGTCACTTATTTGTCCTATTATCTAACCAACCCTCCCCTCCCCTACTGCTAGATCATTTCAAAGCAAATTCCAGATATCTGTAAATACTTTTGCATCACTAAAAAATAAAGACTTTAAATTCTTGAATATCTAATATTATTATCTACATAATATCTAATAATAAACAATATCTAGTAAGTCAAATGTAAAAAGCTCACCACTTCTCTGAAAAATATCTTTCTATATTTGGTTTGTGTGAAAGAAGATTTAAATAAGGTCCACGCTTTGTGCTTAGATGATACTCTCCAAAGTCTCCTTTAAATTTTAACAGTTCACCTTTCCCCCACCACACATCACTTTTATTTTCCCGTTAAATTATTTGTTAAAGAAATCAAATCATATTTGTAACATAGAACTTCCCATATTTTAGAGTTGGCTAGTTGCATTTTCATGGTGTTGTTTACCTTATCCCTCTATTTCTGTATTTTGTCCAAAGTGCTAACTATATCTAGAAGCTGATTTGTTAGTTTGGTACAAAAGTAACTATAGTTTACAATAATTTATTGTATATTTCAAAATAATTAGAAGAGTGGATTTACAATGTTCCCAACACAAAGAAACAATAAATGTTTGAGGTGATGGATATCCCAATTAGTCAGACGAGATCATTACATATTGTATGCCTGTATCAAAATATCACAAGTACCCCATAAATTTGTACAACTATTATGTACCCACAAAAATTAAGAATAGGCCAGGGTGGTGACTCACACCTGCAATTCCAGTATTTTGGGAGGTTAAGGCAGGAGGATCACTTGAGCTTAGGAGGTTGAGACTGGCCTGGGCAACACAGTGAGACAACACAGTGTCATCTCTACAAAAAAAGAGAACAAATTGAAAAACTTGCCAGATGTGATGGCATGTACCTGTAGTCTCAGCTACTTGGGAGGCTGAGACAGGAGGCTCACTTGAGCCCAGGAGGTAAAGGCTGTACTCAGCTATGATCCTGCCACTGGACTCCAGCCTGGACAACAGAGCAAGACCCTGTCCTCAAAATAATATAATAATCATAATAATAATTGTATAAGAAACTTTAAAAATAATTTTTAAAATTTTACTTAAGCTCGTTTTACATTAGAATATTTCAGTGAGGCTGGGCACAGTGGCTCACACCTGTAATCCCAGCACTTTGGGAGGCCAAGGCGGGTGGATCACGAGGTCAGGAGTTCAAGACCAGTCTGGCCAACATGGTGAAACCCCTTCTCTGCTAAAAATACAAACATTAGCTGGGCATGGTGACACATGCCTGTAATCCCAGCTACTTGGGATGCTGAGGTAGGAGAACTGCTTGAACCCAGGAGGTGAAGGTTGCAGAGAGCCGAGACCGTGCCACTGCACTCCAGTCTGGGCAACAGAGCAAGACTCCATCTTGAGGAAAAAAAAGGAAAAAGAATATTTCAATGGAAAACCTTTCCCTCATCAACTACTTGTCTTATTAAATTGATACAAGAAAAGTGGGGTAAACACTGTATATTTTTGGTTTATCAGTTTTCAGAGTGAGTTAGTAAACAAGCAACCTAGAGTAATGCCTAATGCTTTTTCAAACATATTCTTATAAACTATCAGTGTTTAAGTTCTCTAAATTTAAGACGTTTCAATCCATTATAGTCATTTATTTTGGTGGGAATTCAAGAGAAATATCACTTCAGACAGCTGGAAAATGATAGGCTAGTCAATAAATAGAGTAGGGTCAAATGGCTATCCTGTAGAATAACATATACACAGTGTTATACTGGCAAGTGCATACAAGGTATGAAGCAAAAGGTATTTGAGATTTTAAGCTATTAAGACAACATACAGTATCTACCATGTGATATTAAGAATATTAAATATATGTGGGCCGGGCACAGTGGCTCATGCCTATAATCCTAGCACTTTGGGAGGCCGAGGCGGGCAGATCACGAGGTCAGGAGTTTGAGACCAGCCTGGTCAAGAGATCATCCCGGCCAATACGGTGAAACACCGTCTCTACTAAAAACACAGAAATTAGCCAGGGGTAGTGGCAGGTGCCTGTAATCCTAGCTAGTCGGGAAGCTGAGGTAGGAAAATTTCTTGAACCTGGGAGGCAGAGGTTGAAGGGAGGCGAAGATCGCGGCATCACTGCAATGCACCCTGAGCAACAGAGCAAGACTCCGACTCAAGAAATAAAAATAAAAATAAATAAAAATTAAAAATTAAAAAAGAATATTGACTATATGTGAAGCACTTAGCATGGTGCCTGATACAAGTGCTCAGCAAATGATGCATATGAACATATGCGTACCCATGCACGTGCACATGATTATCGGCTGGTAAATGTTTAAAATCTAGCTCTCGGGCCGGGCGCGGTGGCTCAAGCCTGTAATCCCAGCACTTTGGGAGGCCGAGACGGGCGGATCACGAGGTCAGGAGATCGAGACCATCCTGGCTAACACGGTGAAACCCCGTCTCTACCAAAAAAATACAATAAATTAGCCGGGCGAGGTGGCGGGCGCCTGTAGTCCCAGCTACTCAGCTACTCGGGAGGCTGAGGCAGGAGAATGGCCTAAACCCGGGAGGCGGAGCTTGCGATGAGCTGAGATCCGGCCACTGCACACTCCAGCCTGAGCGACAGAGCGAGACGCCGTCTCAAAAAAAAAAAAAAAATTCTAGCTCTCTGAGGAAAAAAATAGCCCTGATTTGTAGTGTTTGCAAATTTTCATGATCAAATAGTCCCAACATGGGTGATTTCACGCAATCAATATAATATTACTAAACACCGTGCCAAGGAGGGATGTGCATCACCGGTTCTCACTAGCCTCCACTGTATCCATACATCCATATTCATCATTAAACTATTTTTGTATAGATGAGTATGTCCATGTTTACATGTATGTGTGTGTATGTATGCACATATTTATGTACACAGAATCCAAATGCCTGGTAAAAGGTCTGGAGAGACAGTAAAGGAATGACAGGAGTTTTCTATGGGGCAAGAAATGGTCTCAGGTTGGGAAGAGCAGGATAAACAGCACTACTGTTTTATCAAAATTCGTTGAATTTTTAAACAAAAAAATATTCATCTAGTGCTTATGTATTTACTGGGTCGAAATGGAATTTTTCCCTAATTATCAAACCCATGCTATCATAGACAGCAATATTTTCTCACAAACATCAACATTAAGCTGCAATGTGATATAAATGACCAGCTAGAGTAGATGTCATATCACACCAAGAAATCGCCTTCTGAAAAATTATACAGCTTACTTTGGCTTCAGTTTCTCCCCTGTGAAGAGTATACAGATGGTGGACAGCACATTGTGATGAGGACCAAGGATGAGTCAGAATTTGGAAGACATGAAAGTCATGGCCAAGGGTGTCTGTTGTGACTAGAAGCATTCCTGGAAGACAAAAAACAAAGGGTAAAAATAAAAATGATTATGTATGTGGATGAAATATTCTAAAAAGCTACTCATAATATTTAAAATATTACCAAAGGGAAAAAAATTACCAAGGCTATAAGACACTTTACAAAAGAAAAAATTAAAACAAAATATCTTTTCCATGAGAATACCAAGCTTAATGCCACATCAGTATATCAGCAAGGTACAAACACTACATGTGCAAGTATTACGGTATTCCTGTAAAACTAGCAGAGAGAAGTTTGATATTCCTGGATTTACAGAATTCATAACTGTATTCCTGAGGCAGAATCTCACTCTGTTGCCCAGGCTGGGGTGCAGGTTCCTGATCACAGCTCACTGCAGCTGCAAATTCCTGGGCTCAAGTGATCCTCCTGCCTCAGCCTCCCAAGTAGCTGGGACTACAAGCACATGCCACCATGCCTGGCTAATTTTATTTTATTTTTGTAGAGACAGGGTCTCACCATGTTGCCCAGGCTGGTCTCGAACTCTGGGCCTCAAGCAATCCTTCTGTCGTGGCCTCCCAAAGCTCTGAGATTACAGGCATGAGCCACCATGCCCAGCCACAATTATTTTTTAAAACAAAGAATGTGAAAATGGCATACCCCCATGGAACTCCCTCTTTTGCAATTTCTTCAAACTTTAATTCTACGCTCCAATTTATCTACTGATCCAACTACTACTTCCTGTACTTAATTCACCATGATATTTATTGAAAATGCCAATAGAGCCTATTACAGGGAAAGTTCTTAATTTTGATGAGATGTCATAGCTAAGAATTCTTTGCCTAACCCAAGGTCACAAAGATCTTCTGTTTCCTCGTAAAAGTTTCATAACTTTATGTTTGACATTTAGGCCTGTCATCATTTTAATATTTGTATAAGGTGTGAGGACCTTATACAACAAGTTACATGGCGAGGATCCTATACAAAACATGGACAAGGTTAACTTTTTTGCAGAAGATGTTCAATTGTTCCAGAAAGACTTCTTGAAGACACTGTCCCTTCTCCATTGAAGTAACACTGTCAACTTGCCAAGGATCAATTGGCTATATTTGTGTAGGCCTATTTTTTTTTGAGACGGAGTCTCGCTCTGTCGCCCAGGCTGGAGTGCAGTGGCGTGATCTCGGCTCACTGCAAGCTCCGCCTCCCAGGTTCACGCCACTCTCCTGCCTCAGTCTCCCGAGTAGCTGGGACTTCAGGCGCCCGCCACCACGCCCAGCTAATTTTTTGTATTTTTGGTAGAGACGGGGTTTCACCGTGTTAGCCAGGATGGTCTTGATCTCCTGACCTCGTGATCCACTGGACTCAGCCTCCCAAAGTGCTGGGATTACAGGCATGAGCCACCATACCTGACATTTTTTTTTTTTTTTTTTTTTTTTGAGACAGTCTCACTCTGTCACTCAGCCTGGAGTGCAGTAATGCATTCTCAGCATACTGCAACTTCCACTTCCTGGGTTCAACTGATTCTCCTGCCTCAGCCTCCCAAGTAGCTGGGGCTACAGGTGTGCGCCACCATGCCTGGCTATTTTTGTATTTTTAGTAGAGATGGAGTTTTGCCATGTTGGCCAGGCTGGTCTCAAATTCCTGGTCTCAAGAGATCCACCCACCTCAGCCTCCCAAAGTGCTGGGAATACAGGTGTGAACTACCATGCCAGGCCAAGGCCTATTTTTTGAAGTTCTATTAATTCAATTTTTGTGTCTATACATTCACTAATACCACACTCTTGGTTACTGAAACTTCACAGAAAATCCTGAAATCAGGTAAAATGAGCCTTTTCCTGCCTTTTTAAACATTATTTTAGTCATTCTTGTTTAGGATTTTGAGGGAATTGTATTGAGTGTAATAATTTGGGGACAACTGATATTCTAATATTGTGTCTTCTCATCTATTAACACAGCATATTTCTTGATTTAGATCTACTTTGACTTCTTTTTCTTTTTGTTTTTGATTTAGATTTGACTTATTTTTCTTTTTGTTTGACACTCAGATTCTGAAAGTATTATCTTTTAGAGTTATTATAAATGGTATTATTTTTAAAATTTCAATGATCAATTTTTGCTTGCTAGTACACAGAGATAAAATTGATGATTTTTTATCTTGACAACATATGTTTCCTGCAAGTTCTAGGGGTTTATACGGTATGTGAATTTTCTTTGATGACAATTATGTAGTTTAGGAACAGGCACAGTTTCATTTCTTCCTTTCTGATCTACATGCCTTTTCTTCAATTTTCTTGACTTACTGCATTTGCGGAGGCAAGCAGAAATAGTGAGGAGAGATTTCTGTGTTATAGGAGGAAAGCATTCAATCTTTAAGTATGACATTAAGTATAGGTTTTTTGTAAAAGCCCTTTGTGAAATATGCTGTGAGTTTTCATAATGAAAGAAAATCGAATTTTTCAAGTGCCTTCCTGCATCTATTGAAATGGTTATGTGGCTTCTCTTTTTAAATCTATTAATATAGTGAATTCTAACAATAATTGATTATCAAATGTTGAACATGTCTTACATTCTTGGGATAAGTCTCATTTGGTCACAATGCTTTATTATAAGCAGCTAGATTCAATTTTCTAGTATTTTCTTGAATATTTTCATATCTGTGTCCCTGAGAAATACTGGTTTGTAGTTTTCTTTTCTAACAGTGTGTTTGGCTGATTTTGCTATTTAGGACAATCGAGGCCTCAAAGAATCATATGGGAATGCTCCCTACTCTGTTGTTTTCTAGAAAAAAAATATGCAGGATTGCTATTATTTCTTCATTAAATGTTCAATGGAATTTTCAAGTAAAAATATTTGGGCCTATTTTCGAAGATTTTTAACTACCATTAAATATTTTGTTAATTTTTTTAATTTAAAATTTCTTCTTTGACGAATTACTTTCTGTAATTCAAGGAATGCATCCTTTTTAATATCTGTAGAGACATTAATGATATTCACTTTTTCATTCACGATATTGGTAATTTGTGTCTTCTCTGTTTTTTTCTTCACCAGTCTGGGAAGGCCTTTTTAAGGTTAACCTATTTGGTTTCATAACTTTCTGTTTTTCTCTTTTCAATTTTACTGATTTCTGTTACTATATTTATTATTTCCTTTATTCTCCTTGTTTTGGGTTCATTTGCTCTTCCTTTTTTTGAGTTTCTTATGGGAGCAGCTTAGATTATTGTTTCAGGAACTTTCTTCTTTTCTGGAGTAAGCACATATAGGTATAAATGTCCCTCTAAGCCTGCTTAGCTAAATGTAACAGATTTTGATATGCTGCAATTTCATTTACATTCAGTTTTAAATGTTTCCTAGTTGCCTCCTCTTTTGCTCGTGGGTTATTTAAAGGTATATTGTTTTGTTACCAAATATTTGGATATTTTCCAGATATCTTTCAGATATTATTGCCAGTATAATTTCATTATGACAAGAAGTTACTTCTTTTACATTTGTTAAAGTTTGTTTTATGGTTCAAAATGTGATCCTTGTTCCATATACACTTGAACACCTAGAATATATTCTAGAAAGGTATAGAATTGGTAGTGATGTTTGCATCTTCAATTTCCTTACTGACTGACTGCTTTCTGTTCCATTACTGAGTAGGAGTTATAGTCTCCAAGTATAATTGTGGACATAAGTAGTTTTCCTAAGTTTTATCAGCTTCCTAAATTTTAGAGCAAGGTTCATGCACATTTAGGATTGTATGACGTCTTGGTCAATTAACCCTTTTAACATGATTTAACCCTGGTTATTTTCCTTGCTATGAAGTCTACTTTTTTCCAATATTAATTTCACCACTCCAACTTTGTTTTGATTGGTACTTGCATGGTATATATTTTCCATTCTTCTACTCTATATCTATCAATCTAGGCTTCTTTTAGATAACAGTTGGGTGCTCTCAGACTTGCTCACTCTCTTTCAATCAAATCACTGCCTTTTAATTGGTGTTTGTAGTTTATTCATATTTAGTACTTACTGGTAGGGCTGGATTTAGGTCTACCAATTTATTATTATTTCTGCTTGTCTTGTTTCTGTTTTTTATTTCTTTTTTCATGTTTTCTTGCTGTTTTGGGACTACTGTAATATTCAATTTTCATGACATGCTAATTTCAACATTTTATTCAGTTTTGTTTATTTCTCTTCTCATGTTTTCTTGCTGTTTTGAGACTACTTATTTTTAACAATATTTAGTGTTGAATGTTAAAAATAAATAATTTATCTATGGGCTTTTGAGCTATATCTCTTTATATTAAAATTTTACTGGTTGTTCCAGAGATTATAATACACATATCTAACTTTATGTGCCTGTTCGGTTGTATTTTGTCCAGGTTTCATAATTGTTTTCTATGGAAAGGATGGTTTGTACATTTACCTTGCTATTCCGAGAAGTAGAATCACATTAGTATAAGCATTTAAACTAATGTTTTGTTGAACCAAAAGGCATGAAAGAATATTAAGCATCTGTGGGAAGACAAGGTAGTCATTTCAGTGAAAAGATGAAGTATATTTGAGTTTGCTATTTCTTTGGCAAATATAAGGTACAGCTCTCGTCACTATATTAAAATATCCTACTAGATGCCACTGTCCTGCCTATTTCCAAGAGAATATATTTTAGAAAATGAAAGGTGCCATTTATTATAATTAATTTAATAAATTATTAAACCTATAACTATATATATAACCTTACCTCTCATTATATATCTAGCTATGATCATGAGGTTATTTACATAGCTTATATTCTTTACTTATTGTTATTCAAACAATAAATTTGTTTTGTTTCGTTTGGTTTGGTTTGGAGATGGAGTCTTGTTCTGTTACCCAGGCTGGAGTGCAGTGGCACAATCTCGGCTCACGGCAACCTCCGCCTCCCGGGTTCAAGCAATTCTGCCGCAGCCTCCCGAGTAGCTGGGACTACAGGCCACCGTTACTACGCCTGGCTAGTTTTTTGTATTTTAGTAGAGAGGTGGTTTCAATCATGTTGCCCAGACTGGTCTCAAA